GGGGACTCACGTGACTTGAATCTGTGGTGGGTGTTGTCTGGCCCGTTCTGGTGACCGTATTAGAACCCATCGATAATGGATTAACAGCAGTTGGTGGAATAGATTGAGGACTCTTCGATTTTTGTTTCTGAAATTAGAAATCGAAAATAAATGACAAAGAAATATGTATCAGAATCCAAAGTGAATCAGCTATAGACATAGATGGATAAATAAGACAATGAGAAATCGAGAAAAACCTTCGATTTTTTCGAAGATGAGGTAATGGTGGCAGAGTGCTTGCATTTCCTGATGAGGGCCGATGGATCTGACTCATCGGAGGACTCCCAATCCTTCTCCTTCTCAGAGGCGACAGTCTTAGAAGATTTCGAAACTGTCAAAAAAAAAAGGAAAACAGTTAATTGACAATATAAAGAAAACCAAAAGATACTCCTAAAAGAGGTAGCAAAATCTCACCAAAAGGTGATGGAGTCAAAATCTTGACTCGGTCGATATGGACAAGCTAAGGAGGAAGAAGAATTTGAGGAAGGTTTAGGTAAGGAAAGTAGGATAATTTCAATATCGAAATATCTTTGTTTTTGGGTTTAAGGTAAAGAGTTTCTTTCAAAGATCTTAACTCTCGAACCCATTTAGGATGAGTTAGAGGTTTAGCAAGTCCAAAAGGAGTTGTGGGAAAAGTGGGAAGGTGATCGGGACAATACATTCCAAATGGGGTTTTACCTCGAGGATTGATTATTTTGTGGTTTGATCGATTAGTATCTGTTTTATTGGCTAAGGAAATAACAGCATCATAGAAGGTCGATTCTAATTTCAAGGGGTTGTAACATACTCGATAAAAATTTTCGAATCGAGATATTTGGAGATAGTGGGAGTGTGTACCTTTCTTCGCCTTCGATTTGTCCTGCAACACGAGAGAAGGATGAGCAGTCAATTTTTGTTGAACTATGTCAAAATCAGAATGATTATTCGAGAACCAATCGGCCCACCACTCAGAGAAACCAAGAGTTGATAAATAATGGGATTCAAAAATATAAGGATAAAAATGCTCGGGGTTTTTGGCAGCAGTTTAGCGAGCTCCCGTTCGATTGTCGATTCACTTAACTTGGACCTTGGGGAAGTATCGAGGGGGAAAAAGGGTAAGGGTTGACTCAAACCAAACTGCCTCGAGAAAAGCTGAGGGTAATATGTGACAAGTTGAAGGTCCTTTGAATGAAAACCCGATACTAACACATCTTGAGTCAAATAATTGCTCCATACTTCAACCAATTCTGACTGCAGTCCCCGCGTAAGAGCAGGAAATTTCGATTTAAACCATACTGGTCCTCGAAGTTGGTCGCTTATTCGTCCAAGATTCACAGTAAAAGGAGCCAAATGCGGACAAAAATGAAATTGAGTCAACAAAAATCTAAGGTAATTACGATAGGTAGTCTCGTCAGATTTATGGCGGGGATGTCGAGAAGATAATCGAGCACCCTCTAAATTTAAACTTGGGGGGATTTGGGAGGTTGGGGGGAGGATACTTTCGAAAATCGAGTTTAGCCATAATTGGATAAACCAAATGGGACCTGAAAAATTTCCCGAGGCCATGGGGGTATTCAAAATCTCGACGGCTTCATCAAAAGTAGTATATACATGGGCTAATAAAAGTTTTGCTAAACAAATTCGAGGCTGGCCTGTGTGTAGGAGATAGGCAAGGTTATAAAGGTGGGATGAAATTTGGATGGATCGGGGGCAAAAAACATGAGTACATAGCCAATACACTAGGAAGGTTATATGCTCCTCATCAGTTACAGCTACCGATGGATCATCGACGAAGTGCTTTTCGATAAAATGTCCGTACGCCTTCGATTCCCAATCGATGTTTGACCTTAAAGAATTATCCGAAGGAAAAGCACCCTTAAAATATTTGTCCCCTATGGGTTTTAGTCCGGTAATAGCAGCAATTTCAAAGAGGGTGGGTGAAAGGGGACCACAAGGTAGTTCCAATGCATGCAGGTCCTTATTCCAAAGATGGACAACTGACAAGAACATAGCCATATCCAAGTAAGATAAATCACATCGAGACAGATGCAGGAAATCAAAGATCCCCACATCTCTCCAATGGTTCCCAAACTTTGTTTTTACTCGATCAAACCACTTAATATACAAGGGTTTTTTGTGGGGAGGGCCCGTACGGTATACTTTGGATACGATATTCAAAAAATCAACTCGAACCTCAGACTAGTGGATAGGAGCCTTGCTCTTTGAAGAAAGATTGAGGGAAGAGGAAAAAGATCTGCTACAGTAGCGGATAGGACCACCGAATGCATAACTTACATTTTCAGCAATGTAAGGAATAAGTACCTGAGTTTCGGCGACCCTCTGCGAAGCTTCCTCCATCAAAGGCACCGGAGCAAAATTTTTCCCATTGATTTCTATCAGAGTAGAGGTCACCGAGGATAGTGGTGGGGTGGAAAAGTCAGAGGATTTGGATGAGGTTGCCATTTCACTAGCTGATAGAGCAGAGGAAAACAGAGGGTAAAAGACGGAGGTGCAAGGTAGAAGACGAAGATGCATAGGAGGAGTAAAGTTCGTGGTGAAAAACAAGGGTGAAAAGGTTAAACAAATGTTTAAAGAAACTAACTAGGGTACTGGAAGCGATGAAGGTGAAGGGTAATTAATGTGGCGTGTGCAGTGAGGCGGCAGAACTGACATGATAGGTGACATAAAGTGGAAAAAACCCTAAAACCCCAGCAACCCTAAACCCTAAGTTCTGATGGGCCTCCAAAAGGCAGGAATCATGTTGAAAGAATATAAATACAAACTTTTATATTCTTCCAAGGGGGCATTCTGTTAATGGGAAATCGATAAAGGGATCGAAAAACGAAGGAAAGAAAAAATCGAAGACCATACGATTGGTAAAAGACATCGAGAACGTATTTTCGATGAAATTGGTAAAAGTTGGTAACCACAAAAATAAAAGTACATCGAGAATCAAAATCGAGAATCGAAGAAACAAATTTCGATGCCTATTGTTGAAGTTAGAATAGTACAAAATTAAAGGGAATCAAAAGCAAAATTTAAAATACTCGATGTCTGAAATCGAGATCGAGGGAACGGTTAACACACACAGGGAACGTGGGAAACAGTTTCTAAACCGCAACAGAGATCGAAGGAGGAGTAGTTCTCTTATACGTAAGAAAGTGGAGTGCAGTTTTTAAACTGTAAAAGTAAAGGAACGGGCACGTAGGATCGTGGTGATAGTGGTATTAACCACTCTTGGGAGGTTATTTGAAGGATGCTCTATAAATAGAGCGAGGACTGGAAAAGAAGGAGGAAATTGACAGAGAGAACAGAAATACTAGTGAAAAGTCTACCGGAGAACGACGAAATCATGAAGTTTCTGGCGATCTGGATTTCCTTTTTCATTGAGTGTCTTTACCGCTTTCTTTACTTTCCCTGGTAATTTACGTTCATGCAATTTACTTTGATACAGTTTGTGTTCATGTAATTTAAGTTTTTGTATTTCCAATTTGCAATGTAAAATTTCGTACTTGAAATTCTGTCATTTAATGCTTATGCAATTTCAATTTCCTGCTATTTACATTTCTGCAAATTCAATTCCTCGTCGTTTACACTTAATGTAAATTTGAGGTTTCAAGCATCTTACATTTCTTTGTAATATTCTAGATCGCTTTTCGATTTGACATTTTTTTGCTTTCTTTACTTCGAGTGCTTTAAATACAAAATACCAAAAAATAGCGCTTTCGATTGTCATTAGGCTGCATTAAGATTTACGGTACTGTAGGATTTTCGATTCTCATACACATTTCGATTGAAAATCGTTTGCTAGCCTAAGTAAAAAAAATCTACGTGGTTGGAATTTGGTTAGAACAAAATCTTTTAAAATCGAAATCGATCAAAATTCCACTAGAAACACTAGCCTAATTAAAAAAGAATCTACGTGGTTGGAATTTGGTTAGAACAAAATTCCTTCGAAATCAAAATCGATCAAAATTCTACTAGAAACAATAATATATAGAAAATTATTGACGTACAAACTAAGATTTATAATTTGATTGTGATAGATAAGCTCATCTTGCTCTAAATAAAAACTAAAAGCGGGGGAGACCCTTTTGCCATTTCGACCAATATTTCCCCGTGCAAAACATAATAAGGTAGGATGAAAGAACGAGAGCTGAGCAAGGATAGGTAACTTAACAATGTCAAAACGAATAACTAGACAACAAATGGTTCATATTTATTCACTATCTCCGTCGTACTATGTGAATACAAACTTCCGGATTGAAGGTTAGAATAAAAGGTTGAACTGAAATGCTACATCAGCAAATAATGTCTTGTTTGATTTTTTTTTTTTTAGTTTTCAAAGAAAGTTTTAGTAAATTATTTTAAAAAAATTAGTTAGAATAAAAACCTTGTTTAATAACTCTAATTAAAAAAAAAAAAAGAAGAAGACATATATAACTACGAAAAAATGATGATGAAAAGCCCCTTGGTCATCCGCGGGCATCGCGGCATTGTAGGGTCTCTGTGTATGCGTACGACGATTCTTCGACCAAATTTTTATTTAATAATTTTTTGTCATTTCAATTTAAAATAAAAACAACTTTAAAATACAATTTTGTATTATCGAATATTATAAACAGTGACTTACCATAGACCGAAACGTTGAAAGTTTTTTTAGGATCCAAATATATTAAAACTAAACATCTATAACATGTATATTAAGAAAAATATACGTTGATAACAAAATAATCAATTAATAAACTTTGTTTATTAATATAATATGAATAGAATTTTAAATGTTTATGTTTATTATTATTATATTATAAATAATTTTTGTAGTTGAATGGATACCTTAACCCTAACCCTAACCCTAATCCGGTAAAATATGTAATTAATTAATTAAGTAGTTACGCAATGAGTAAAGAAATATGCGAATTCATCATGTACTAGGTAATATTTGAATCAAGAGCTACGACACGAAGTTTTGTTGAGGAGTAATGTCCGAGGTTGATTATGAACCTGAACATCCACGCCTCTTCATCCCCAACTTCCTCTCCCTTAACGAATGCAGAGTTAGTATTTTTCTTCTTTGCTAAAACCTTTGGTCTCTCTTCTTTCTGATAGTTATTTTGGTGAAGGAATTGGAATTTATCCACAAGAGTAGCAGCACCGTGGGTTACAGACCCAATGTCTTCTCCACCACTCTCTCCCATCTTATTGCTACCAACTCTTCCCATTTCATCATTCCTTTTATACCCATAAGAGGTATTACATAAAACTCATTTTCCCCCCAAAATTTGTTAATGTCCTTTGAAATTTATTTCAATGAATTTACATTCTTATTTGTTTTCAAATTTGGTGGCAGAACGGTTGAAAGACAAGCTAGAGGAGTTTTTCAAGTGTGAGTATGAGCTCTTCATTGAATTCACTGGCTTAATCAGGTTGGTTACCTTCACCTTACCTCACTTCCATGTTTTTGGCTTCTATTTTCTGTTAAAAATATGCATTTTTATCATCTTGATTGATGGTGCTTCGAATCAGTTGGAGCAGAGGAGCAAGCATCGGATGGCATAGTGATGATAACAGGCCCTATCTCAAACAACGCCACTTCTCAGTGAGTAGTACTATTCAGCCAATCAATCCCATTTGAAGTTTGAATTCTTGTTATAGCATATACACTCTCGCGCATAACTCTTTTCTCCCTTTTGGTAATACCATGAAAGGCAGTGTGCTATTTAAATACTTATGGCAAGGATTTCAGTGGTGGATTATTTCACTTCCAGGATGGTGAGCCTACATCAATTATGCCCAAGGCCGGAGTGAGTTTTCCCTATTTTTTTATTTAATTTAATGATTTAATCTGCTGTATACATTCTCGCGGTTGCAGAATATGCTGTTTGAATTTTTTTATTAAACTATAAGACGTTCATTTATAATTCGAAGTAGGAAATGAACAAGTCTTTCACTCCGTTTATCTTTTTCGAACTTGAGAATGATTCAATGTCTATTTCAGGATGTTGTGATGTACACAGCTGATGACCATAACATTCATTCTGTTGATGAGGTATATTCAATGCACTCTTTTCGGTTGTGCGCCTATTTACTTTGTTGTATTCTCACGTTGTATATCAGAATCAAATATTCATTCCTCCTCCCTAACTCCCGAGCCAGGGCCCCAAGAACAAACCTTTTTTTTTCTGAATTAAGCTGATTTGGCTTGTTATGTTTTCATCATATCTCTCATCAAAAACCTTAATCAAAAGTTGATCTTCATTATTGTCATTCCAACAATTAATATCCCTTATAAACAGTATAACAAAGATGATTATCACATACTTTTTTGGACAAGGATATGAAAGAGGGTGATTATTTCTGAAAGAAATTGATTGTTAACACATTTCCTTAATTCATTATGATATAATAATGTTTTTCATCTGTGTCAGTACAGAAGCAGTAAGAGAGCTTATATAATTCTTATAAATCAAAAACTGAAAAAAATCGAGGTTGGTACTAGTTGATTGATTCCACTTCATGTTGTCTTTGGAACAACTTTAGGGATGAGTTCATACTTGGGTAGATAGATCAGCATGAACAAGAGTCAATACTACCCAACAGGTAGGACTCCACTTGATTTAAATATGTCATCTTTTGACATTTATATGTTACACCTCTTGGTAAGTTTTTGTATTGATTGAACCAATGCTTACCCATTGAGTGATCCTTGATATGAGTAGGATATACAGAACATCATCATTTAAGCTTTTATTTCCGGTCTCTTAGATTGTTACGTCTAAGGCATATAATTGTATATGCAAAGATCAAACTTCAGTTTTATTTTTCCTTTTGTAATGAGAAATTAATCTTTGTTTATGAATCTGGATTGTTAGCTTATTATTAAACTTTTCAAGTTAATATTGATAATCTAAATAGAGGAAATCATCAAAATTTTGTGGTAGTGTGTGTTTGTTTCTTCAAGTTACCGTTTTCAAGAGTATAGCTTTAAATATAACTATCTTTTCTTCCTTCCTCCCCATCCTCCCCTACATGGTAGGTTTATTATACCTTTTGATTTGTTAGAATTATTATTAGTTAGTGGTTAGTGGTTAGTGGTTAGTGGTTAGTGGTTAGTAGTTAGTAGTTGGTAGTTGGTGGTTGTTAGTAGTTGGTAGTTGTTGTTTTAAATGTTGTAATCCTATATATATATGAGAGTGGAGTAAGCATCCCACAAAATTAGAAATCATCTTTTCATTCTCTTTACTCTCTTAACTTGGTATCATAGTCAAAGCCTAACATTTTTCCGGTTATTGTCATGGGCCAAAAGTTACCCTTTAGTTGGGTCAAAAGTACCCTTTGCCTGGTCCGGCAGGCTTCGCTGGAGGGTGTGTGTGTTGAAAGTCCCACATCGCCTACCTCATGTCATTTGGTATGGTTTAAATACATGTTAGGCTACTCCACATATTGCCAATTGGTTTTATGTTGGAACCTTAACATGGTATCAGAGCAGGTTGGTCCTGCTCTGCCTGTCCGGCCACCGTCCGGCCACCATCCGGCCACCGTCCGACCATTTTCGGTCACCGTCTGACCATTTTCCAGTCACTGTCCGACCATTTTTCGGTCACCGTCCAACCATTTTCCGATCACCATCCGGTCATTTTCCGATCACTGTCCGACCACTTTCCGGCCACGGTCCGGCCACTTTCCGGTCACTTTTCGGCAATCGACAGTCCCCCGTCCAGTCACCTTTTTTGCTGTCGCTCGACGACTTTCCGACCACCTTCCAGTAACCTTCCAGCTATCTTGGGTGCTCTCTTTCTTACAGGTTCCATTGTCTCCATCTTACATCTACATTATTTAAAACATGTCGTCAGGGCCCACAACCTCCTTTTCTGGAACTCTCACGATTACGCCTGAAAAATTAAATGGAAAAAATTACATGTCTTGGTCCTCTTCAGTGGAACTTTGGTTCCTTGGACAAGGGTTTCACGATCATCTAGAAGAAGACGAAAGTAAGATACCAGAAGATCAGGCTCAACAATGGAAAAAGCTTGATTATCAACTTTGTGCTCTACTGTGGCAATCAGTAGAACCAAATATTTTGAACACTCTCAGATCCTTCAAAACATGTAACTCTTTCTGGAAAAAAGCTCAGAATATCTTCGCAAATGATATCCAACGCCTCTATGATTCCGCTAATCGATTAGCCTCTCTCAAGCAAGTGGATAAAGATATGATGACCTTTATTGCTGAAGCTCAATCAGCAGTTGAAGAATTAAAGATGTTCTTAGAGGTGGATTCGTTAGAGGAGATAAAGCAAAAGTTGGATAAATTCTATATGGTTATGACTCTCCGAGCTATGAATTCAGAATTTGATCATGTTAGAGATCAAATTTTAACTGGACAAGAAGTTCCTTCTATGGAAAGTTTGACTACAAGACTGCTTCGTGTTCCAACTCTCAAAGAAAAAAATAATCAAGAACTTGTTGAATCTTCTGCTATGATTTCTACCCATGGAAGAGGAAGTCGCGGCACTAGAGGAGGACGTGGAGGTAGAGGACGTCCTCAGTGCACTCATTGCAAGAGAATGGGTCATACAGTGGAAAATTGCTACTCTTTGCACGGTTTTCCTAATAAAATTGTCAATTTTTCCAAATCTGAAATGGTTGAACCCAAGTTCTCTCACGAAGAATATCAGGAATATTTGAGGTTGAAATCCAGTAATCTAGCACAGTCATCAACAACCCCAAATTCATCAACAGCTTGCATTTCACAATCTGTGGAAAGTCAAAATCCATGGATTATTGACTCAGGTGCTTCTGATCACATGTCTGGTAATACCTCTTTGTTCTCTTCTCTCTCATTTCCTAAAACTCCTCATCTCATAACCTTAGCCAACGGATCTAAAGTAGCCTCTAAAGGAACTGGTCAAGTCTCCATTTCTCCATCTTTAAACTTAAAATCTGTTCTTTTTGTTCCTTCATGTCCCTTTAGTCTCATTTCCCTAAGTCAATTAACCAAATTATTGAATTGTTCAGTAACCTTTAATGCCAACTCTTTTGTTATACAGGAACGTGGTACGGGTCGACAGATTGGCGAAGGACATGAATCTGGAGGCTTATACTACCTTGAGACTAAATCATCTGTATCTTGTGTTGCATCCTTGTCTCCAAAACTATTACACGAACGGTTAGGGCACCCTCACTTATCAAGATTAAAAAAAATGGTTCCTGAACTTAAGACTCTTCAAGATTTTGAATGTGAATCATGTCAACTAGGGAAACATACTAGGTCCTCTTTTCCTAAACGTTCTGAATCTAGATGTGACTCTGTCTTTTGTCTTGTTCATTCTGATATTTGGGGTCCTAGTCATGTCTCATCCTTTGGCTATAGATATTTTGTTACCTTCATTGATGAGTTTTCTAGGTGTACTTGGATTTATCTAATGAAAGACCGTTCTGAATTATTACCTATCTTTAAGTCTTTCCTTAACGAAATCAAAAATCAATTTGGAAAAGTAATCAAAGTTTTACAAAGTGATAATGCCAAAAAATACTTTTCTATTGATTTCTCTACTCTCTTAAGCTCCCAAGGCATTTTACACCAGTCTACTTGTCCTCACACACCACAACAAAATGGTATAGCAGAACGAAAAAATAGACATTTGGTTGAAACTGCCCGTACCTTATTACTTGGTGGAAATATGCCCGTTCATCATTGGGGAGATGCTATTCTTACTGCATGTTTTCTCATTAACAGAATGCCATCTTCTTCTCTTAACAATAAAGTTCCACACTCTATTCTATTGCCAAAGGACCCACTCTTTCATGTTTCTCCTCGTGTATTTGGTTGCGTATGTTTTGTTCATGATATGTCTCTAGGATTAGATAAACTATCAGCTAGAGCCATCAAATGTGTCTTCTTGGGATATTCTCGTCTTCAAAAAGGATATCGATGTTATTCTCCTGAAACCAAGAGGTACTACATGTCTGCTAATGTCACTTTTTTTGAGTCAACTCCCTTCTTCCCTTCTTCTATGCAAGATATTAGTTCGGTCCAAAATGTCCTACCTATACCCTTAGTAGAGCCATTTGTACCTCCTCCTCCTGACACCCAAAATTCCACACAAAATACACCGGAATCCTCATCACTGCCTCTTATTACCTATCAACACAGGAGCCAAATGATCAGTCCCATGTCCCAAGATGAGTCTTCCTCAGCAGATCCTTCTCAATCATCCCCTGATACCACGATTCCTGATAATGATGACTCAAGTTGGCCCATTGCCATTCGCAAAGGTACTCGCTCTACTCGTAATCCACATCCCATTTACAATTTTCTTAGCTACCATAGATTGTCTCCTTCCTATTTTTCTTTTGTTTCTTTTGTATCCACTATTACTATTCCAAAAAATGTGAAAGAGGCACTTGATTATCCTGGATGGCGACAAGCCATGATTGATGAAATGCAGGCTCTTGAGCACAATGGTACATGGAACTTAATTCCTCTTCCACATGGGAAGAAGACTGTTGGTTGTCGTTGGGTCTATGCCATTAAAGTTGGACCAAAAGATGAAGTTGATCGACTCAAAGCTAGATTAGTAGCAAAAGGCTATACTCAGATCTATGGCCTTGACTACAGTGATACTTTTTCTCCTGTGGCCAAAATGACTACTGTTCGACTTTTCTTTGCTATGGCAACTATCCGTCATTGGCCTCTTCATCAGTTAGATATCAAGAATGCATTTTTGCATGGTGATCTTGAGGAGGAAATTTATATGGAGCAACCTCCTGGTTTTGTTGCTCAGGGGGAGTCTAGTTTGGTTTGTAAGTTACATCGTTCTCTCTATGGTCTCAAACAATCTCCACGTGCTTGATTTGGAAAGTTTAGTCACATTGTTCAAAGTTTTGGATTAAAACGAAGTGAAGCAGATCATTCTGTTTTTTATTATATTGCTTCAGGAAAATGTGTTTATTTAATTGTATATGTAGATGATATAGTCATTACAGGGGATGATGTTGATAAAATTTCTTTGCTAAAGAAACATTTATGCAATCACTTCCAAACTAAGGATCTTGGTTGTCTCAAATACTTTCTAGGGATTGAAGTGACTCAATCAAAAGAAGACATCGTAGTCTCCCAAAGAAAGTATGCTTTAGATATCCTGAAAGAAACAGGTATAATTGATTGTAGACCAGTAAACAACCCTATGGATCCAAATTAGAAATTAATGGCGGATCAAAGTGAACCGCTCTCTGATCCTGAGAGATATAGAAGACTTGTTGGGAAACTCATTTATCTCACCATTACCAGACCTGACCTATCTTTTGCCGTTGGAGTTGTGAGTCAATTTATGCAAAATCCACGTATCGATCATTGGAATGTCGTCGTTCACATCCTAAAATATCTCAAAAAGCTCCAGGACAAGGTCTGTTGTATGAAGATAAAGGGGGTACCCAAATATCCGGGTATTGTGATGCCGATTGGGCTGGATCCCCTATGGACGAGACGCTCCACTACAGGATATTGTGTTCTCATTGGAGGCAATATTATTTCTTGGAAAAGTAAGAAACAAAATGTAGTGGCCCGGTCTAGTGCTGAAGCTGAATATAGAGCAATGACATCTCTCACTTGTGAACTAGTGTGGGTGAAACAATTCCTTCAAGAACTGAAATTTTGTGAGATCCAACAGATGAAGATGTATTGTGACAATCAAGCAGCTCTCCACATTGCCTCTAATCCGGTGTTCCATAAAAGGACCAAACATATAGAACTTGATTGTCATTTTATTCGTGAAAAATTGTTGTCTAAAGAAATTTGCACTGAATTTGTCGGGTCCAATGATCAACTTGCAGATGTGTTGACAAAGTCTTTAAGAGGACCTCAAATTGAATTTATTTGTTCCAAGCTTGGTGCATACAATTTGTATGCTCCAGCTTGAGGGGGGAGTGTTAGAATTATTATTAGTTAGTGGTTAGTGGTTAGTAGTTAGTAGTTGGTGGTTGGTGGTTGTTAGTAGTTGGTAGTTGTTGTTTTAAATGTTGTAATCCTATATATATATGAGATCATAGAGTGGAGTAAGCATCCCACAAAATTAGAAATCTTCTTTTCATTCTCTTTACTCTCTTAATTTGATTCTTTAAATACAAGCTGTGTAAATTTAATCCTCAAAATAAAACTTTAATGCATGGAGAATGTGGAAGAAGTGGGGAAAAAATAAAGGGGTTTGTTGAGATGTTATCCTGATTTGGTGTGATCCTGACTTAGTATAATATTTCCCTGACTGTTGTATTGTTTCCTTCTATTGTTTGATCCTAATCCCTGAAACGGATTGATTCAGACACTTGGTATATAAATATATTGTACACATCATTCATAACACACATAAGAAATTCTCTTTCCGTTTCAACTGAGTGCAAAGAGTAAGTAGGCTGCTGTTATCTGTATATGCTATTTTACTTTAAAGGTTTAATTGCATTTATAAACCCATGCCTTTTATTAAATTTTTAACAAAAAATGATATTAGAATGAAAACTTTTTGTTTATTTTGGAACAAATATGTAGGCAGAAAACTGTCACCTGTTCTACTGATTATTAACAGAGATTAAATAGAGACTGATATTGGAAACAGTTGTAATACATTTCTTTTAAGGCAGTGATGTGAAATAATTCTATCAGGCAGCAAAAGGTAGATACGGCATAAAAAAGTATGGTCACATTAAATATTTCTTTCTGATCTGAAGTGATCTTTGTCAGATAACTGGAGGAGAAAGGCTCACAGTTGCTTTATGGTTCAGTCGTGATAGCTCCCATGATGAGGACAAGAAGCTCATTTCTCTTCTTTCACAACACTTACTGCATAAGAACGTGGCTGATTCATACCTACCTTTGCCAGCATCCAGTAATATGTACTGGTTTTCTCATGGCCAAGCTTCCGATTACCAGTTCGGTTTTAATATATGCTGGGCTAGACTGCATGTTCTTGGATATGACATATATATTTCTCAAGACAGTGTGTATGAGTCTGATGTCTCTGAGTTGCTGGTAAAGCCTGTGCATTTAGTGAGGGGAACTGAGTTGCTAGATCAGGAATTTGTCAATATTATGCATGCACTTCAGGTAGTTTAAATAATCCTATCTACATTTTCCCCCATGTTTATACTAAAAGAAAGTGGAAATGCACGTAATTATACATTGAAAGCCTTTACGAAGTGACCATGAACTTTGCTCTTCTTTATGACGCTCTATAAAAAGTAGTTTTATTAATGCCACTGCATAGTCTTGTCCTCCTAGACAAGGCAAAACAAAACTAACTACAAATTTAGTTCTCCCAATGAGGAGAATCTTGTGTTTGATGGTAGATATTATTATTATTATTATTATTATTATTATTATTATTAAAAAAAGAGTTAAGACACAGATGATTATATAAAGCTGTTGGTTTACTTGATAAGAACCATCAACATGTTTTGTGTAGAACAGTTGGAAAATATATTTGTGGTAAATTCTTGATATTTAATATACAGAGAATCCTTTCTAGAAAGTATAGGGTTAACAGTCACCCTGGTGCATTATGTCAACTAGGACTTTCTATATATTAATGTTAAAAAGAATAGAACTTAAATTTAGCACGTTTTTGTCTTCTGTTATCAAGGTTGTCTTGACGTTTTTCTTTTCTTGTGAGTAGTAACTCTATATCGGCATGATAACAGAAGGGGTCTAAAAATGTCCAACTATTTCCCAAAAGTTTCTTTAAGCGACTTAAAAATCGACCTTTCTTTTCTGTTTAATTTGCATTTTATGATGTAATATGATCCCTTCGTTTTTCTTTAATCGTCTCTATAGCTGTTGTTTAAGCATCACTTGTTTCTTGAAATAATAATCTATTGATTTTGAAAATTTTTCTCAATTACTCTGATTCATTGTCTTTACTTGAACAGGTTGTCCATTTCTATTGTTGGAAAGGTTTAGCTTTACAGAACAAGGTGTCAAATGTAGACTCCATGGTAGTAAAAGTGACAGATGTGCAGAGAGAGAAAATCAGTGGTCTGAATTCTGTACTTTCGAATGATGATGATTTTGCTTCCAAAGTTTTCTCTAATATGCTATCCGAAGAACGTGGATGCATATGCTTTGACTGGTCAGGAATTCTGGCTGCAGTTGCTGCTTGGGAAGATTATGCATCGAACTTAAGCCAACAAATTCATTTACAGTTTCCTTACTGGAGAATGCACGAATCTATTTATAATGTGCAATTAGATGAGTAGTATCCACGATCTACCTAGAAAAGGTAACCATCTACAATTGAGCATGGGTTAAAAATTTGGAAAAAGGCAATGGTTAGACAACTAGAAGATATTTTGTGTAAGGTTTGTTTTGATAGCAATACTGGAGTCAACGTGCTCTCGGAGAGTTTTAAGACGAAAGCTGCTTGGGGAGAGATGAGAAATGCGACTAACATATATTTCATGATTTATCATAAATGTAAGTATTATGCATACTTAATGTAGTTTGGGTTGTTAATCTCTGCTATTACGATTGGGAGTAACCTGCTAAGTGGGGCACTCTTGGATTTTCTGCATCAATATTCAATACTAGGTTGCATAAGCTACACACTACTGTATACCTTTGTGTCTCAAATATTTGTAGCACAAGTTTAGGTGCAATATTACATCCTGCAAGCTCATTAACACTTTTCTATACATCCTTTTCTCGTCTTTTTATCACAAATAATACTTTTTTTAAGTTCTACGAATTTTCCGCCAGAGGGATCTCTATTTTCATGACACTGAGATTGTAATATGTATACTTTTAGGTTATTATATCCAGGCTGGAACGTTACGGTCTTTGGATATGCTCCATGTATGCAAAGTTTTGCCAGAAACGTCATAAAATTTGATATCTGCATTGCTTTCGGTGATTTGCATAGACATGAAACCTTGTCCATCATAGTACAACTTCAGTTCTTCCAAGCTCCACGGCCTGACATCGCTTGACCACGCCTTTGATCCACCGCCACTTGTTAGAAAGTGAATTCCACTGGATTGTTTATGCAAACCACAGAAGCATGAATGTTAGAACTGCGATGATGTTGAGGCTAACCATTAATAGTAAGACATGCATACCTATTTTTGTCAATTATGTGCTCCAGGCAGTGATCGTGTCCATTAATGTATGCATCAACATTGTGTGCCTGGATCAATAATGAAGAAACTAACTGGTCAGAAATTGTACACTTTCACTCCATGATTTCAACAATTATAACTGAATTCTTAATACGGTCCCAGCTAATCGTCTCGTCTCGTTATGATTATGAACGTGGCTAGTTTGCCCAGTTACACCATGTCCATATGTCATCTTTATGAACTGAAGGGGGCATTCGGTAATTGTTTTGCTAGATATCTTGTTAACTTAAATGCACAAGTTTGGAAATTGAAAGCCAGTTGTCATCATCATGAGTACAAAGAAAGTCATCTTAATAAATGAAAAAAAAAAATTAATTTAATACATTTTTTAATTTTTTTTTTCACTCCTAGTCATACTAGTTCTAATTTATTCAATATAATCATGTTTGAATCCTTTACCTTCAAGATGGGAACAAGTATCTGTTTGAGCTCTTCAGTGTTACCATGATGCCCAGCACTATTGATTGTATGGTGACCCACCACCATCTTCCATTTTGCCTTTGATTGAGCCAAAGCTGAATCAACATCCTACACAAACATAACAAGGACACTCCATGATTTCCCTCCTTTCAAGTGCTAATGCACAATGATATGAAAGACATATTAATTGCAAATTCAATGTCTTCAATTTTTTATTTATTTCAAATAATGTGATCTTACAAGTTCCTAACCATGTCATAGTTTTCAACAGTTAGTTCACTTTGAAAACTTGGATTACCAAAATTAACACATTGTCTATAAGAATTTCTGGAATTCACTATACATTATTTCTTGACAACAAATTGGTTTTGCAAGTCGTAACAAACCTTCAAGAGTTCTGAAAGGTAAGACATGCGAGGAAGCACGCCTTCCCAGTCATAGGTATGTTCTCCTGGGTCTACAAAATACTCGTTTACAAATGGAGTCGTGTCCACAAAGAAAAACTCCACAATTTCTATACAAATAAGGACAAAATCACAGTAGTTATTAGAAGAGCCGACAAAATATACGAACTGAATTGTTGTAAAATTGAACTGAGTTTTAGAAGTAGTTCTATAGTCTTAAAACATCACAAAATCAATTGTATCATATTATTTAAATTAATATTTCTTAACACACGAATGTTTAAATTAACTTATTTTGTGTTTAAAAGATCTTATTACAATCTTATTCAGATAATCAAAATTAGCAATTTTTTCCATTAAAAATAACCAAAATCGAATATTTATTAAACGAATTTATACCTCCATCGAGAACAAAAGATCTCAGGCAAAGCCATCTACTATCTTTTTGTTTTAGAACGGGACTTAGTTGTGCCTCAACATCACCTCTATAGTCATGGTTACCGAGAACTGTCACAGTTAAAAGCAAGATCAATTTGTGTTTTATACAATTGCACACCAAGTGTTTGTTGTTTTCGTTGAATATTGAAACAAAGTTATCTTACCGCTGTACCACGTCTTTTGCAAGCTAGGGGCAGTGTATATGTCGACAAATGATTCGAAGAACGCCGGGTCATCAACTCCTTTTAGCCCATCTTCGTAAAAATTGTCACCAGTGGAGATCACAAAATCTATATTCAATTTCTCCCCCACAATTCCCATCTACAAAATTAAGCAACTTAAAAATTGTTAAGCAAGCTACTTAAAATTCTTTCATGTGTATTCTGTTTTATTCTAATGAATAGATTATCTTGTCTCTTTCTGCGAAAATAAGCTTCCATAATTTAATAACAATCATTACTAACTTCGTTTTGACAAATATGAGTATAATTAGTAATTTATACTACCTTCTAGTCATACTTATTGTATTAACAGAAATGTTCAAGCAATGCATTATGTAATTATTATCATTGTCAATTTTTTAAATAATATGAAATGATATTTAATCATATTATAGAATTTTAAGATAATAACAATATATAGGAACAGTTTTATTTTCTTTTATAAATGTATAATAAATTGTACAAATTAGATGAATTGGGTACATATAGAGACAATTTGGTGTTTTTTGGGTTGAGAGAACATAACACATGATGGTTGAAGACTATAACCGATTAAGAAAACTTATTTGGAATATGCTTGTGCCTCATAAACTCTTTAATCATTCCAAGTGACATATAAATTGATAGTTTCTTAGATAAAATTGTTTATTGAAATGTTTAATAAATAATTTTTTAATTAAAATAAACGAAGAAAGAAAATAAAAAATGAAATTGTTTAATTTTTTATTAAAATAAAAATAATAATTAAATATTTAAAAATGATATAAAATAAAAAAAATAATTTATACGAATTGATACCCTATTTTTATATTTTATTCGAATATTTTATACATAAATTCGGTGTTATGTTGGAATATGCGTATTTTCCCCCAAAAGATCAATTCAAGGTGGAATAACATGTAATCCATTGATCTGGCCAATGTTGCCCAATTAAAACTTGTACTACACTCTACGAAAGGTTCATATTTTCAATGGAAATTATCGAGAAAATATTTTGTTTTATTTTATTTTCTTATAGCCATGTACGTGCAGATTTTGTCCACAAAGTATATTTTTGTATGGCTTTTTTTTTTTTTTTTTTACTACACAATCAAGATAAGGATAAGAAAAAACATATCTCTCTTTCATATGATGTGGACATTATTACTTTGCAAAATTAAGTAAAAATTAATATGAAGCCAGTGAAATAAAATCATTCGATGATCAAATATTTGTTAAATTTTTGTAAATACATACTTTTTAATAGCAAAATAAATGTATTAAATATAACATAATACTCTATATTGAAATTTTAATTTTTAAATTGTGAATTCAAATGTCGAATCATTTGTAAAATTGGGTTGAAAAGTTGTTTATTAGACCATAGTTTTAGTAGAGAGATGACCAAAGTGTGGGATGACGTGGAAACGCAAATATCATATCTCATGTATCCCAAACTTTTAAAAGAACCCCACAAAGAAGATGGCAGGTGAGTTGTGACATGGATGTTGCCATTATTTAAGTAATTAGTGAAAGGCAGATAGAAAAATCTGATAAAATTGGGTTATGAATAGGGTGGTGATATTTTGATAATAAAATATTATATAATTTTTTAAATAATTTATTTTTATTAATATAATAATTTATAAAATGATTTAATAAAAATAAATTAAAATTATTATTATAATATTAAATGATAATTATTTATAAAGTTGTATGAATTTGAGTGGTTAAATTATTATTTTTATTATGAATAACGTTTGTTTTGTGGTCGAGGAGGGATTGGTATAGAATCATAGAAGAAGAAGAAAGTAATAAATGTGATAATTAATACGTTTTTTTTTTTTTTCTTTTGGATACATGCCAATAATAACGTGATGAAGCCAATGAGGTGATTGGTTGAACTATATCAGCATCTTTGCGAAGCATATGGAATATGCTATAAAGGAGCTAAGAACACAATTAAATTTAATTCACTATATAACTAAAAAAAAAAAAAACTCTTGCAAAAGGTATATTTTCTTCACATTTAAAAATCAAAATGTAATGGTTTTACCAAAAAAAAAAAAATGCTCATTCAATTCAAAACTAATTATCTTTGACTATACGTGCATAGGATAATAGATTAACTACCTTTGGTTTGAACATACTGAAAATACGAAACTGCACTCCGTGCAGTTAGCATCATCGTTGTTTTTAGTTTTAAACTGGGTTATGCGATAAAGGTTATTTTTAGATAAATACGCATTTTATATCAACTTTTGATTTTCTTAATTTCTATGTGTCTAATTTTAATTTATAAGAAAGTTTATTTCATTTTTTATTGTTTCTTCTAAAAATTCTTATGAAAAAATTTGTTAAGAGTTTGGATGAAAGCAACATAGGAAGTATAACAGAGCACATGGTAATCTCAAATATTATGTCATGTTCATGTGCATATAAGCAAATGTGCAGAGAGGAAGTATCCCATTGAATTATGCGGCATATAAAGATCTATTATTATATGATATAAGAACGAGATTGATAGATTTGCATTAAGAGAGAAAATTAAACCTGATTGGCAACCAAAGATTGATTGTTTGTTCCTTTTCTTCCCCAATCTCCCACGACCAATAAACGAAGAGATTGTTGTGGTTTAGCAGGGTGTTTGAATCTGGGAAGTTCGGCAACAGAAGGAGTGAGCAACAAGCACAACGCACCAGTTACCAACATAACATGGAATAACATGTGTTGCTTTATGGATAAAGCCATGATTTTGGTTTAAGGACCTACAATTTCTCAAACCTAGCAAGAGATGAAGAGAGAACAGGGAGAAAGAGAGACAGAGGGAAGGAGCTATATATGTATTATTACTGAGATTCTAATGTTATAAGAAAGAAGATACTATATATATACGTACACATTAAACCTTCGAATTTTAAACTTACTAAATAATACGTTTAAACTTACTAAATAATACGTTTAAACAATATTCTATACAAGACATAAGCGCAAAGCTACTGTTAATTAATAAAAAAAATATTAAAAATATTAAATGTTTTATGTAGAACATCAAAGTTAATTTTATACTTGCTTTTACTCATAGTTTGGTATTTCTATTATTTATTTATAATCGTTTTTTCAGTGGATCTTATCAAATTAAAAGTAACTACGTAAAAGTTTAATTCAAATAATTCTGATGAAAAGGTATGTTTTAACCTAAACAATAATGCAAACATGGAGGGTTTAATTCTTCACGAAAAGAATTGCGTATACATGAAGCTTTTGATGATATTCTCTTTTATACCAAATGTACAATACAACTCATATTCCTATTTCCGATTTCCTTGCGAAAGAAGAGAAGGAGGGGAAAAAAATCTGATATTCTTTGATATGCTCATATTTATTTTCCTTTTTAAGTTTTATTTTGTAATCTAATATCATTATATTCTTTACAAGTAATTAATAACTTTGATATGCTCAAATTTATTATATTAAAAAAATCTGATAATTATTTGGGGTACACTTTTAGTTTGACTTTTAGTTACGAAATTGCTTGTCGGATTTGTGTTTCCCTATTAGACCGAAAAGAAAGATAACTGTTAATGTTAAATTAATAAGAAGTAGACATTTAATCCTTAAATTTTATTTTATTTAAAATAAACATTCCTTTTCAAAACTTATCCTAGTTTACCTTGAACTCAACTTCCTTCTAATTCATCTTTAAAATTGATACTTTTTACCAATGTTTATTTTATCAATTTAGAGTTAAATTATTATGTTAAATGTAAATATTCATTATTTATTTATGCTGGTTAAAAAAGTATTAAAAGCGTCTTTAATTGATTTTGTAATCATAATTAATATGTATTATGTTTTAATGAAAACGTTATTTGTTAAAATAAAATTAATAAATGATTGAGATTTAAAATAGATAAATTGTTGATATTTCTATTTTGTTGGTTGTATATAAGAGACTAAATAAAATGATAAATTTTTAATCGTGGATTAAGATGGAATTGAAATCAAAGTATTTGTGTGTATAAAGAGATATAATTCAAGGATAAAAATAGATATAAATTTAAATTTGTATTTTCACAAAGTTTAAAGATTAATTAAGACGAAACCAAAGTATAAAATGTTTGTAGAAAAGGTAAATTTTAAAAGTTAGATAATTTTTGGGTACTTTAATTTGTTTGTTTTTCGTCTGTCTAAGTAAAATATTAAAAAAATATTTTGTTTAAAACATTCTATTTTTTTCTTCTTTTCAAAAGACAAGTACTATATAATCAGATGACGGATCTTGACCATTGATTTAAGGGGGTCAAATAATATATTATTAATGAATAATAAATAAATATAAAAAGATGAAAGAAGATTAAAGGATGAGAAGATAAAATTGTAAATATATAAATAAATATATTAAATGATAATTAAGTTTGAGGGAACAAAATCATAAATTATATGAGAGTTTAGAGTGATAAAAGGATAAAATTGTATATATACAAATTAATATATTAAATAATCATTAAGTTTGGGGGGACCAAAATCATATATTACATGAGTATTACAAAACTTTGGGGGGCCACAACCTCCTCAGCTTCCAAGAAGATCCGCCACTGTATAAAACTTCTTAAAATGCTTGGGATTATAATGACCTTATTAGAGCATGAATAATGAACATTTTTATCTCTTTTCCTCTTTGCATTCTTTGTATTAGTCTAGTGATGATGGGTGTGTTATACCATATGCAGAAGATTTGTTAGTGATTAAGTGTATGTTTGTTCAAGTTCAAAATAACTTTTATTATTCACAAATAAAAAGTATTTTTCATATAAGGTATTTAATAAATAACAAGATTTGTTCTCTCATTATTGACCAAATAATTTGCTAGTACAAGAGTTATAGTTGTTTAAATATAATTTCTTATATTAAGCTATTTAAACTATAATGGAAGAGTGATAAAGAAGAAATCTTAATCAACAAACAAGTTCTCATAACTTTTTCCGTTAGAAAATATAAGGACGAGATTTTATGTAATGTTGTGCTAGTAGAAGTTAAACATATTTTACTTGAGAGATCATGATTTGATAGGACATGTTACATAATGTCTTTGTCAATAAAATCTCTTCTAAATTTTATGGATATAATATGGCATTGAAACATTTATCTAGTAAAGAGGTTAATGAGGATCAATTAAAAATGAAAGTAGAAAGAAACCAAGAAAAAAAGAGAAAATCCAAAAGAGTATTTTGGTATCTCCTTAAAAGACTAGAAAGGTAATGTTTGCCAAACAAAAAAAAAAGTTTTTATTTCTCATTCTCTAGTTTTTATAATTTAACATGTTTTCCTTATTTTTCTTTCAACTATTCAATTAGATCTAGAATATAAGATGTTGTTATGGAACAATTTGAGGATATTTTTCAAGATCCATCTAAGGGGTTACAAATTCTAAGGAGGATAAAACTTCAAACTTTATCTGGTTCTTCTTTATCCAATGAACAAGCTTATAGATCATGAAGATTCAAAAGAGATCTAATACCGGTTAAGGAATTGATTGAAAAAGGTTGGATACAAGACAATATGAGTCTATGTATTATGTCAATTATTATTGTGAAAGATTTTAGTATGATTATTGCACCGATGTCTTAATTAGAAAAAAGATGTTCTAGACTACGAATACACGGATAAGAGCAAGATAGAGGACTAAGAAGGAAGTTTGGGATTAGAATAAGAATTTATATTTTTGTATTTTTTTTAGACCTTTGCATTTGGTTTTGTGATTTTTTAATTAGAAACTAATTTTGGATATTAGTTTCTATTAGACTAATTAGATAGCTTTTATGAATGACCCAGTAGTGTTATGTCTATATTAAAAATAGGTTTTTGTTGACTTTTGTAAGAAGAATACTCTTATTTAGAAACTGAAGTTTATGCTCTATAAGATAAAATTTTTCTAGGTTCTTATAAAATAATTTTGATTTTTATCTTTTTCAATTGTTAATTCAAAATGATGAATCTTATTTATCAATCAATCTTGATTGTGGCATCTTCTTCATCTTTTAATCTCTTTTGCATTTTCTATTTTTCTTAATATTAAGTGAAATTTGTTAGAAATGATTCTTCTAACTAATACATTATTAGACATTCATTACTATAGCCTACTTTGTGTGCTTGTTAAAGCTTTACAAAATTGGTCACATTTTCCCAAGGAATTTTTGACCCATAATGATTATAGTTTCTTTAATATTTGAAACTTCAATGCACGTTTAACATATGCAACGTGGTTGATTCTTATTGAACAACTTTCATATGCAATCAAGCATAAGCAATGAAAGACAAGTATTTTGGTAGATTCTCTTTTAATTTATACCCCGTACTTAATATTTTGAAATATTTTTTATCGAGTTTGATTACATAAAATATTTGTATAAAGATAGTAATTTCTCCAAAGTTTTTCATGAGTGCTCAAAGAATTACATAAAGAGTATTTCAAACAAAATCATACTTTTTTTTATGGATAAAGACTTTGTGTGCCTCAAATATCTTTAAGAGAAACATTTATAAGATAGGCACATAAGGAAGTTTAATGGAGGCATTTTTGGGGATTTAAAATCTTAGAATTTTCCATGAAAATTTATTTTAATCACATATGAGGAAATATGTTGAATTTTAATTTTTTTGAAAAGTGCATAACATGTAAAATGACCTAGTCTAAGCTCAATCCCATGGGATTTATACCTTTCTTCCTATTTGATATGAACCTCATTTACACAAGGGCTGACTTAGGATCTTTAGGGTTAGAATATCGTAGGAAATTTAGGAAATTAGTAAGAAAGTGGATTAAAAAGTGGTGAAATTTTCAGGGTTGAGCAGAATTTTAGAAACGTCAATATCTCAAACTATAAAAATCTAATTGAGATGATTCAAAAATGATGTGAAAGTTCTCATTTTGAATTTCAATTTAGGCTAAAAAAAACTCTTGGACGTGTAGAATGGAAGTTATGACCAAAAAATAATTCTGGACATAATTGAGTTTTCTAGGTTCTGGTAAAGAAAGGACAAGAGATGAATATGAAAGGTCGAAAGAAAGAATCACTCTTCCTAAGAGAGACAACTCACTAAGGATGTGAAAGTCCTTTGATACAGTAAAGGGTTCTTAATCACTCAAGAACTTAGGAGAATTACTCTCACCAAGATAAAAGAGTTATCTCTAATATTTCTGAACAAAACTCAACTTGTATTTTTGATAAAAAATGGTTCAACTTATATAGAAGTTTTTGACATCAGAGTTATAAAGATTCAATAAAGAAAAATAAATACTAATAATGATCCATTGTAGACCCAAAATCTTGCCCGACCAATCAGTAGATCTAAGAAATCCTCCATTTAGAAGATGGTTAAGGCTCCATGAGGCCCCTAGTAGCATTCACTGGGCTCCATTTAAGAAGAGGAGATATTTTTGAGAAAATAAAAATTTCAGAAAAAATCAGAAAATTGGGACGGCTGTCCCACTTGTTATTTAAGCTAGGACGACTGTCCCACCTCCATTAAACCTTGGGACAATCGTCCCACTTTCCCAGATGGTCGTCTCACCTTTCCTTGAGCCTGGGATGACCGTCCCACTTTCACAGACGACCGTCTCACCTTTCCTTGAGCCTGGGACGGTTGTCCCATTTTCCCAAACAGTCGTCCCACCTAACAATGTTTCAGACGGTCGTCCCGGCTTGTCTGACGCATTTTGCTATAAATAGGAGGCTCATTAAGCTCAT